TGTGGCTCCTCGTGGGGCCGGAGGAGCGCCAGGGCCGGGTCCTGGAGAGCGATCAGCACCCCCAGTAGAGCAGCCCCGAAGACCAGGGGCGCTGGGGGTCTAAGGAGCTGCGCCCGGGTTACCTTGCAGGGCCTGGGGGCTTGGGGCAGTGGCCGGGATGACCAAGTTTATGAGACGGGAGATGGCAAGTTCCACGCGTCCACAAGTTTGTGCGGGCCGCCTGGCCATGGCCCCGGGTTGCCCTGAACCCCGTCCAGCATCGCTACATTCACCTTCCGTGCTCCGGGGGCAGGCACGGGATTTGGGTGGGAAAACGGGTGCAACAATGAACGGGACGACGACGACCCTTTCCGAGTGGACGGCGGACGCGCGTACGGAGGGGCGCCCGATCGTGGAGGAAACGTCCGAGCAAGGGGCTGGGGGCGTGGGAGAGAACCTGGCCGTGGGAACGGGGGAAAGAGCTGGAGAACGGAGCGGGAGCAGCCTGGGGAAAGGCGAGTAAAGCAGCTAGGAGGGCGGGAGAAAGAGGCGCGCAGCCCGCGCGGGGGAGAGGCTGGCGGAGCCTGAGCTGCGGGCGCGAGGGGGAGGCTGCTGGCGAGAGGCGCGGACGAACGCGGACCGGGAGCTTCAGCAGGGGCTGCCAGCGAAGACCGGAGCCGCGGCGAAGCGAGGCAGTGGACAGGGGAGGCAGAGGCCACCGGCGCTTGGCAGGTGATGGTCTGGCTGGGAGAGGAAGGGGGAAGGGAGCGGTGAGGCAGGCATCTGTTTGCGGGCAGTGCCAGTGAATGTGCTTCTCCTTGCCAGCCAGCAGAGGGGAAAAGGAGCCCACGGGAGTGGAAAGAGGCAGCAGGCGAGCGAGGATAAGAATAAAGAGTGCTCTCGGTGTGACAGCTAACTCAGTGAGAAATGACAGACTGGACAAGGCTTATTTCATGGGTGAGTTGGTAAAGCAAGAAGTAGGACTACTAGAGGTCAGGACTGGTAAGCAGATGGAAAATGTTGAAAATAGTTTGCCAGATATGGGGACTGTAATCATTTGTCTCCCACCACCACCACCACCCCCCGCAGGAAGGGGCTAGAGGTGAGGAATGGGACTTTGCATCTATTTCTTTAAAAACCACAACAAATATACCCACCCAACTTGACCTGAGATTCCGAGGGAGCCTTTTCTAACAACCTGTACTGTGTACAGAACGTGGTGTCCGCAAAACAGTTTTGAAGATGCAGTGAAAGGATGTACTTATTTTTATAGGGTATTAAAATTTACAGATTGCTTCCACACATGGCATCTCATTTCATTCTCACAACATCCCTGATGGTTGGTTTTTATTTTACAGATGAAGACAATGATAGTATAAAAGATAATTTTCCAGCAAATCATACAAGTGGCAGAGTTCAGACCTGTGTTTACTGACTACTGATATATGTCCCATTATAATCCACTGACTTCCCACATAGAAATTCATTCTTATTCTTGACAGATTTATAATCCATAGATTGAGATGACTTATATAAAGGAAACCGAAGACAACGTGAGTCACAAGTTGAGTGCTGCTAGGCTATCAGCAAGGAGCGAATTCTCACTGTGAGAAACTTGTCAAAACAAAAACAGACACATTAACTGTGTATGTGGGAGACAAGGTACAAGGAAAGGCTTACAATGAAATATTGAGTTAAACTTTGAGCAAATAGGTGAATAATGTCGACCTAACCTTTTAAGATAGAAATACAGCGTTAGGAACGGTTATCTTCAAAATTATGTGTGGGCACATAAGGGAGGGGACAGGCACAAAAAGATGACAATGAAAGCAAGATTTTCATCCAGTTCCAAGGCTTGGCCTATGGAGTATTCTTGGCAACCTATGCTTTCTGGTAGTAGCCCTAAGAAAATTCAAAAGATAATTTCAAATGTGTGATTAATAAGAATGAGAACAAATTTTAAGCTATAACCATTAGATTAAGTAGTGGGCATTCACTAAAGATCAATGAGTAAGTGTTCAAGTTTTTATAAATACCTAACAAGTTAAACAATGCTTAATTTTAGTGGAGTAGCTCAGAAAACGTCACAGTTAAGAGAGTGAAATCACAGTGGCACTGTAAGGAGCAGCTATGCAAGCTACTATCCAGCCAGTTAGAAGACGCAGATGGTGTTTCCCTGATGTCACCAGAGAAAGCATCACAAAATAAGTGGTCCTTGAGTGGAATCTGGAATAATGAGTACAAATGTACTAGCAGATAAGAAAAGGAAGGATATTTCAGACCTGTGCACAGTGAAGCAAGAAATATGCAAATGGTTTTCCAGGGCCTTGGAGCTAGGGTGTGTTTAAAGTAAGGTCAGGATCAGAAAACTCAAGACTGAGTGTTCAAAGATGGGATCAGGAAGTCTGTGTCATGCTTCAGACTTTAGAATTTATCCTGAATAATTTTTAGAAAGAAAGAAAATTTCACTACCTTTTCTCTACATTTGATAATCCTCTAGAAGTTCTCATATGTTTTGCCTGCACTGTTCCATTAAGCATTTAATATCTACTGCTTGTGTAGATTTTTTTTATCTGTGCCTATCTAAAAAAGTTGGTGCAATAATACCATAGAAAGACTCAGTAGGTTGCCTGAGGAAATATAATCACTTTTTGTCAGGTATGTTTATTATTCCATCTCTCATTTGTTATCTATGTTTGTCCTTTAACAGCCCACAATTATGCAGTAGTTTCTATTCTCATATCTTAGTATTGTGGGCTTCCTATTGGTCTGAAACAAGGCTGTTTTCCTATCCACAATAAATTAAAGTGTAGAATGTCATGTTTTCCTTTAGGGTGTTAATGAAATCTTTTCTCCCAACTCTTGGCTCTCGCTGTGTGTACTTTCTATCAGATACTTTCTCTCTCCTGATGGTGTCAGGAGACTAATGAACAATCTTGAGATTATGTGAGACTAGACAAAAAGCGAAACCCAAAAGGGAAAAATAAGAAAATCATAGATAAATAGTGATTTCCATGGCAAAGCTTAGTAGCAATCTAATGAAATATTACATGGGAAAGAAGGAGTCTGAAGAAGTAAAAATACCTACATTTCTCAAGAGAATACCTCTACCTCTTAAACTTCACCTCGGCTTCCAGCCCTTCACTTAATAGTGAAGCAATCTGATGGCTGACTGGGATTGGGAAGAATTATAACTACTTCAAATACCATTGGAAAAAAAACTATGTCATCTTATCACCATTGAAAAGGATTTCTTTATAAACTAGGATCTTCCAAATGAACTGTATAGTGTTGGAAGTTACAGAACTGTTCATTTCTCTACCATATCAATTTAAACATTCCCTTCCCCGTTTACATTAGCTGAACCATTGGTACATTTTTTTTAGATTCAGAAAATGTTGAAGAAGTGCCAACCAATTGTTATCTATGTTACTGCATGGGACATTTAATGCAGACCAGGATTCTAGAGCCTTGTTATTTAAGATGTGCTCTGGATGGGAACCTCAGACCTGCGAAATGCAGTCTCTAACTTTACCAAGAAATCTTGGTGATTCATATGGATGGAAAAATTTGAGATATGCTGTTCTAGAGTTTGCACACAGTAGGACTAATTACAGTGTATCCAGGATTGTAATGTTATTGCATGGTTCTTTAAATAAAATTTCTGACAAGTTCCAATCAGCAGAATCCATGTGGTCCTAAAATCTTAATTATTTCCTCAAAAATATACAAACTTGTCCTGAATTACTGATATAATTTCTAACTTTCTGGAGCATGGTGTTTCTTAACAACTTACAAGAACTCTCCTTCTTAAAAAGAAAAATATGCATCTATCACCAATGCCAATGAAGATAGTCTAATTTTTCTCTATTTTACTGATTTGTGCCCTTTTCACCTTTATAGCAAAAATTTTTCCAAATATTTGGTCCTCTTCTCAGTGGCTGTGTCCACCTCCAGATGAAGCAATCCCACAACCACTGTACCAGCAGGACCAATGTTTGACCTACTATTGTTTCCATTTTATCTCTGAAATGGTAGGTTCCTCAAACTTGAGAGCCATTTTGAACCTTCGCATTTCCTTGGTATGCGAAAGACAAGAGGTACGATGGCCATTTCTACTTATTTACTTTTACAAAAATCTTGCCTTTGTATTGTCATTGACCTTCGTCCCAGTTACCTTGTTCTCTAGCACATGCCAAGGGTTCTAGATATCCAGACTTTAACTTAGTTCTCTTGCTTTAACTGCAAGACATTCTTCTCTCTTAAGTTTTTTCTATTACTGTACCCGTAGTCTGGTGATTTTGACATCTGCACCCC